AACTTACTTAAACCAGCAGCACAGTTCATGTGATTAACCTTTTAAATTATAGACTAACCTCAAGTATAGTAGATAAATGAAATAGTTTAATCCCATGTTTTGAATTATCATATAACATTTTAGTAGAAATAGTGTATAATAATCATAATAATTACAGACCTCTTGTCGATCTGGAAATTATTTTTCTGGCAACAAAACTGATAAAATAGGATTACCTTTTTGTTTAACCAAGCTGTCGACAGTTATTTTTCATCAATTTAGTGTCTTGCTCAAGGAATTTATACATATGATCACCCTCAGATGGAAGAATTTTGCTTATGTTGTAGACAAAATCTTTCTTATAGATGCAAGAATTGACAAATCAAAAAATGAATGATATTAAGTTATTCCTTCAGTTATAAAGGATTTTAATAAGGTATTTCAGTTTGACATGAATTTGTGATTAGCATAGGGTGGTATTAGACAAAGTGCTTTCTCCTCAAGTCACATTGGGAGGTTAAGAGATAAATACAGGAAAAGTTAAATATACAGCACTATATGATTAATTTCCAAATCCATGTGATCATTTGTGAGTCTTCTAGGATTTTAAAGACAGATTAATCAGAGAAGGTTTTGTGCTTGGAGTAGGAGCTGAACTGGTCCTTGAAGGAAGGCAGGATTTAGGTATGTGAGAAGGTTTTTCTAGACGGGGATAATATGCATTTATTCAGGACAATGAATACCTTACTGAATTTAATCAGATCCTGAAGAGCCTTAAATGAACTCAGTTGGGTTGTTCTTTGTAGACTCCTTAAAGAAAGGAACCACTTTATTTATCTCTATGTACTGGTACCTCACATCCTCAGTGCCTCCAACCCCATTATCTCCCAGTCTTCACAGCATTCCCCTTAAATCCCAATGGGAAGGTACTTAACACAGCTCCTGGCACTCAGTAGGTACAAAATAAATTTTAATTTGCATTTGTTATCCCTAAAGATTCCATTTTGAATGAACTATAAGGAAATGCTATTTTTATAAGTGTGTCAATATCACATATTACAGATAACCAATATGAAAGAGTCTTTAGTAACTGTACTGCTAATTGAAAATGCTGAGTCTTAGCCACTTAATTGAATAAACTGTCTCCAGAGAGTAATTTGGATCTTTTCCAAGATGCATTAACTCTTTCAGGTCATTAGGGTAGCACTTATCTCATTGGAGCAGAAATGTAATAAATGGTATTCCTGGGATGTGAGTAAATTAATGTACCTAAGAAAGCCTGAAGTTTCACCATGGGTGTTGTAGTGATACTCCAAGGACCTTATCTGTGAATGTGAAACATCAATAAGTAGCTGCCCTTTAGAGCATCTTACTTTCAACTTAGGTAACCTACTAGAGAGCACCTCCTTTGTTTAAGACACTGTGCTAGATGCTGACAGAGATACAAAGAAAAGGCATGGCCTGAACTGAGAGGCAGCAGAGAAGGCAAATCACTACAAGATAAAATCCTTGAGTGATGCCAACTGCTTTATGGGTTTTAATGAGAGTGAGATGCCATAGTCGACAGTAAGATAGATGCTAATCTCCCAGAAGGCAGGAATCATGGCTTGTTTGCACAGTATGCTCATTCATGTTTACTCTCTCAGTATATTCACATGTGTATGTATAAAGATGAACAAATACATATATATGGTAAATATGAGCCAGATCAATCAGAAGTGTTTATTACAATTTTCATATGTGCCATTTTTTGCCTTGTGAGAATATGAATTATTCATGTCTGGCATTGATCTGAAGTGACTATGGCAAGGATGTGAAAAAAAGGAAAAAAGCCAGCATCTTTTGGAGAAATGCTCACTGATTACCTAATAGCCTCAATTTGGGTGTCAGCCTACTGGTGGTATATTGACCTCCAGCTCAAAAAGAGGGTAAGAATGATTTATTTTATCCACCTGCGTATTACACATTTATGTATAACAGGAAGATAGAGGCAGCTAGTTATCATCATAAGACCAAGGAGAAGTGACATAAAAAGACCACTACAAGAAGAACTTTGAAAAGAAGAAGGTAGAGATAACACCCCCAGGAGAAGATAAAACTTCAAAGCTATAGCGTCTACCTGTTTCCTTATGTACAAAGTTGGCATCTTCTCCATGCAAGTGGATTCTAATCAGTAACATCTGAATGAAACAAAAATAAGGTCTATTTAGATTCACTTTCTTCATCTTATTCCCCATGCTTGATACATGGAAGAGGTAGTTACTGGCAGAACAACAAAAAAAAAAAGATAAATTCAGACATGACAAAAACCTTTGGAAGTTATTTAGGAAACAGAAAATAATTTAATCAACTGGTAGTGATACAAAAAAAAAACAAAAAAACTAATAGGAGCTAACCCTACAGAGGTTGATCCAGGGCTGTGCTGTGAAAGGTGCTAAATAATAGTGAGGAGATAGAAGTTTATTTTGAAGTCAGGGAGAAAGCCATTGAAAGACTTGATTAGAGGAATGATAACATTGAGCTTAATCTGATAGCAGGTTGTGGGATAGAATGTCATGAGTGTGAGGCAGGATGACCACTTAGGAGACTGTTTTAATAAGCTATGTCAAATATAATAAGGATCTGATTTAGAAAGATGGAGTGTGGGAATTAAGATATTTAGAAGAGGGAATGCATGTGAAATGTGTCATATAAAATTTATAGGATTTGGCAGGTGATTTGGAGAACAAGACTGAAAAGGGTCACAGCTAACTACAAATTTTGATCCTGGGTGATCAGAAAAATGATAATGGCATTGACACAAAGAGAGAGGAACTAAGGAGCCCTCCTTTCTTTCTCCTCCTTTCCTCCCTTTGAAGAGAGGGGTAGTAAAGACCTTGCTTGGTCAGGTTGAGTTCGTTGGACCCGTGTTTCAGCACTTCCTAAAAATCTGCTGTACTGTTTTCACCTGTTAATTGTGCTAAGGATATGAAAACCCAGATGCTCTCGTAGGCAATGGCAGTGCGTCACTGGAGCTCTGGAGAAAGTAGGATGTAAGAGGGAGATTCAGGAATCATATGAAATGTAGAAATAATGAAAAATGGAAGAGAGCAAGAGCAAGAGCATCCTAACAGGTAGTTAGGATGAAAAATGTGGTGGTCACACTCATTGAAGTGAAAGGAAATATTCCAAAAGTTTAGAGAGTTAGTATTAACAGAAGCCTGGATTTAGTGATCGAGGTCTTTATCGTAGAGCAAAGC